CGGGGGCCCTCCGGGGCCTCCAGCCAGGGCAGGAAGCCTGGCTGGTAGCTGGAGTGTGGCTCCGGCCAGCCAGGCTCTGGTTTTGGACAGCACGCACTGCCGCCACATGCGCTGCCCCGCTTTTTTTCAGTGGTTTTTTTTTTACCCCAGGATCACAAAAAACTCCTTGTTCTTCTGCATGTGTGGTGTGTAGCACCGTAGACGAGCCTGCGGCACCACATACTCAGTGCCATAGCAACAGAGTTTGGTGCTCAGGGCAAAGCCCACAGTGGCAGCCTGCCCTTGCCCTGTGTGCAGATCTGGGGGGCACATGACCCGCCATGCTTGCCTGGGAGTACATGCAGTGGTGGGAGCCACCCTTCCCCTGGCCCCATGACCCCCCAAATGAGCTGCTTGAGGCTCTGTCCTGCACCCTGCTCAGGCTGGGCAGCGCCTGTTAGCACCCCTTTGCTTTGGCGCCCAGGACGGTCACCCTGTTGCCCACCCGGCACTGCACATACTGCATGTCTGCGCTCATCTGGACCCAGCCATATAGGCAGAAGGATTCTGCGGGACACCCTTTCAATTCAATGACAGCAGTTCTATTAGAGACTGACTAGATAAAGTTTAGACAACAAATACAGTGTAGCTTAAGTGAAAGTCTAATTTAGTTTAAAAAATGCACGGCTCACAGACTAAACTATTGAACATATCTGATACAGCGTGCACAGGGTGAGGACCGACACTCATGTAAGGCACCAATCATTCAAAGTTTCACAAGTCTCATTGCACAGGAAACAGACAACGGAGAAATGGAACACATTTTTGCTGACGGTACTTGCAATGTCAGAAAGGACTTCCTTTGGTTTACAAAGCCCAGCTGCGTCTTGGATGAAACACAGCAAAAGGTTGATTAAGCTACTATGGTTCTGCAAATGTATGGGTTTGGGTTGTGACAGGACCCAAAAATGGAGTTGACCAAACCCCATCACTAGCAGGACAAAGACCCCCAGCATCTTATGCCCAAATAGCTGAGTGTCTAGGGCACTTGTCAAGAAACCAGAGGGTTTGTAAATATTCTCCTCCCTGCTTTTCTTTACAGAACAGAGTTGTTATATCACTAAATATATGCGTGCAAGACAAAGTAGTGCTCTCGAGTCCAAACCAGATAAGTCTGACCTACTTGTGGTTAACAAGCAAGCTAAGGGGTGTAACTGAGCTTTGATGCAACAGATCTTTACATCAAAATGAAGATAAATTTGACAAGCTCCTTTCCAAGGTAAAACAAATGGGAAGTGATACTGACCTAGAAATTCCAATGCTCCCTATTATCAAACATCAGTAAAACCAGCCAAAGATGTCATCTAACTCTCCAGGTACAGCATTTTTAAAGACAATTTTTGTTCAGTTTCTTCTCAGTTACAGATGCTTTGCCTCTGCAGCTAGATGATATATTTGGACTGTCTAGCAAAGTCAGCTTGAAGTCTTACATCTCAGCTTCCTTTCTATATAAGAAAAATGCACCTACTGCTAACTTCAGTCTCCAACCACTATTTATGTATTTGTCTGATGAGAAAGATTTAGATCCAGATTTACAATAATGTTGAGGCACCCAAATGTGCTGATAGGCATTTAGAGGGACTTATGCAACGCTGAACTGCATCTTTAAGGTTCTAAATACCTTTGCAGGTACCTCTTCTGTAATGAAAGCCAGCACTGGATGGAGAAGACAGGCACAGAAGGAGGCCACACACACATCCATAAACTCAACATAACCCCGTATTTTTTCTGATTGCCTGTGTTCTTAAGAAGCGTTGCTATTTGCCTGTTGCCACCAGGGCATCTTCTTTTATCGCTCTTGCTTCCCGAAGAAGTCAGAAAATATCATGACTGAGAGCCATTTAAAATTAGCAGATGCATCAAGAGCCGGCCCCAGACATTAGCAGCCTGATTGAAAATCCAACTGACTGCTTTGCGAGTCTGCCAAAATCCTGGAAAAATACTGTTTGTCTGAACCATTAGTTATAGAGCAATTACTGCATTTTATACTCCCAGCTAATTTCCATAGCAGTTTCTTCCAACCATCCTCAAAATTGTGGATCTACTAAGATGCAAAGGAAAGAGCCAGGGCTGGAACCCGTTAGAGTGAGCGAATGGGAGCACTGGGGAAATCATCCTTCTCTTCAAAAAACAATAGGGGGGCTCTGTTCATAGACAGAAACTGGCTTTGGGATGAAATGTGCAGAGTGATAACATTAAGCTTCCCATGGGCTGCTCCATTAGCAGCCACAGCAGAAAATACGTATTGATTTACAACCTGCAAGTTTCTCGCAAGCTGAGATAAGGAATTCCAAAGCAGCGGAGAGTGTCAACCCAACAGAGAGGTTTGCTCCAGAAAGTCCTTCTCTCCTCTCCCTTCAGTTAGCAGCTGGAAGCTGTCAGCCTTAACATACAGGTAACCTTTCCCAGAGGTCAAGAGTGGGTTAGCTTAGCTGAACTGCCTCATGATGCTCAGTAGAGAGACTCCTCTGCAAGGTCCTATATCTTGAGAAAACCTGGGAAGAATCCAAACAATTACAACAATCTCTGAAAGAAGCCTGGTGGCTTGTTCTCTTTGTCCACTTGCTGGTTAAATCTAATGCCCAACTTCTTTGCAATTCTGCCAAAGGACTTCATAAAGGAACGGGAGTGTCACCTTAACACACTGGTTCCCAAACTGTGTGTTATGGGTCGCAACTGCAAATGGGATCACAACATCGGCAGATGGGGCCGCAATAAATGTGCCCCCTAAGATTTCTGCACCCATAGCAGGGTGTGGGGCTGAAGCTGGGCCGGACCAGCTCTGGGCAGGAGCTGCCTCTGCGGCCTAGTGGGTGGGACCCACTGTGGGAGGGAGTGCTGCACCAGCATGGCCAAGGTGAGGCATGGCACCAGTGTGGAGTTGTGCCCATGCTGCTGCTGGGTGAGCAGGGGGAGCCTCAGCTTGGCAGCGTGGTGCTCCCTCCCTCCCAAGCCAGGTCCTTCCCACTGGCCCGTGGAGCCCCTGGGGGGCAAGGCATCAGGGTGGGGAGCTCCAAGCCTGCAGCGGGCAGCCTGCATCCCACTCCCACCATGGGCTACGCTCTGGCAGTGCTGCCTGTGGGGGAAGGGACGGAGGGACGGCGGGTGTGTGGGGAAGCCGGGCTCTGCACTTAGCTTCAGCTGCAGCAGCTGCCACCTCCTGTGGGTGATAGTCGGGGCTCAGGAGCTGCTGGGGGGGCTGTGACTTGGGGGCTCGTTATCTTCAAAGCATGGGACCAAACCCTGGAACTCCAGTTCTAATCCTGGTTGTGATAACACCTCGGTTTCTATCCCTTGCTGCTTCCATGGCTATATCTTTAAACCAGAGACAATTCCTTCCTTATAGGTATGTTGACATTTAGAAAGTGCTTTGAACAGGAAAAGGACTCAAGTGCTAAGTACTATTCACTCCCTACAAAAGTGCATTTCTCCCCAGTTCTAAACACCTAAAACATAACACTTTTCCTGTTCAGAACACTTTACAAACATTAATTCATAGATTAAGGCCAGATACTACCATACAGTAACAGCTGCATCAAGTCTGTAACTTTGGTTTGCGTTAGAGAATACCACTTAGAAAGGTGGTCTGGTCCCACTTAAAGTGAAAGAATACCCACCACATCCCAGATAAGTTCTTCCATGTATAGTTACTCTTATTCCACCTTAAGTAAAGAGGTAGTTAGCCACATTAGTCTGAAGTTAGATAGAAGGCAGGGCAGGGTGGCACCTTAGTGACTAACTGGTTCAGAGAGATGTGAGCTTTCATAGATGACCTACGTTATGCATTTCTGAACCAGTTAGTCTTTAAGTTGACACCCTGCACTGCCTTCATCCAACCCTAAGGTAGGCAGGTGTTATCAATGTCTCTGTGTTACAGATTAGAAAGTTAAGGCCTGTTTCTGCCAGCAATGCTGCAGAAAGAAGTGAAGTACAGTGCTAGCATATGCAGGCCCAGCTACACATTTGTGTACACAGTGGAAAGAGGGAGGGAAAACACCCCTCCTCCTTATCAGCTCCAGCTGCCAGAATCCATGCTTCCCTGTTAGGTGACTTGACATTGCAGAACATATTGGAACCGGTGAGTTAGAACCATTTCTATGTTTGCCACAGTTCAGCCATAGATAAGAAAACAGGCGAGAAAGTGGCCATCAAGAAGCTGAGCCGCCCATTCCAGTCTGAGATCTTTGCCAAGAGAGCGTACAGAGAGCTCATGCTGCTGAAACACATGCAACACGAGAATGTGAGTACCCACTGCTCTGCATTTACCCAGAAAGGGGACCTCAAGGAGCAGCTCCCGAGGTTCTCAACATTTGAATCATTGCTTTGCCCAAAGATGAAGAGTGACCCCAAGAAGAAAAACCCCGATAGTGTTCCAAAAGCTGGAGCCAGGCGAGGTTTTCCTGCTAATGGGCATCAAGCTCACCTGTGAGAGCGTCCTCTTTTGAATCTGGAGGACCATGCATTTGCTGTGGTTGTTCAGTCTAGGGTTCTTGTCACCCAAGCACTGCTCCTCCAATGGGGTTGGACTTGCGATGGGCTCCTTAAGATGCCTGTAAGAAGGGAATCAACCCTAAGACTTATTAAAGAAATTCTAAATTCCTCACTTGGAATCCTAAACGGTCACTGACATTTGACTCTTGAACTGAGGTCTGATACAGAGGATGCCTGTCCTCCTATATGTGTGTTTTCTAGGCTTACATGTTGACCTCACTTGTCCTGCAGGTCATTGGGTTGCTTGATGTCTTCACCTCAGCCACCTCTTTCAGTGGATTCCAAGACTTGTAAGTTTGTGGCTTTTTTCCAAGTGTTTTGAATTCTATTATGTTCAGTCATTGTCCAGGACAACTGCAGACATACACTTGAAGGAAGAATAGCATGCCATCCTGAACCACAAGGACATGAACTGATTAAAAAGAGGCCCATCTGAAGCCAGAGATTCCTAAATAAGTCTATACAAGGAAGGTGAAAAGCACAGATCAGATCTAGTTACTAAAATCGCTAAGGGAAACCTAAGCAGCTCATGCATGTCATTTCTTATAATTGAAATAGCAAGATATAATGGTGATGGGCACATAATGTTTGTAAGAAAGAATTACATGCGTTAGAGCAGTGATTTTGTGATGCTGGTGTATTAAAAATCACAATAAAGAAGAATGTTATGGATCAGAACGCAGGCTATTAGAACGGAAAGGGTCAGATTCTAATCTACCTATTAACACTTCAGTGTGATCCTATTCCACCCTGCTCAAGTCCTTGAAAAAATGTTAATGTGCCTACCTTTTAATACTTCATCATCCAAGCCTTAAGATTAAGCTGCAAAAAGCGGCAAGCAGAAGGAATATGGTATGGTGTGGGGATAAATTTGGAAGCCAAGACAGCAGTTTTGAAAGACCCCCTTTAAAATTATTAAGAAACTCCAGACAGTAGGTAGTGCAGAACTGTCTGGATGTGCACATCGCTGAGCTCTCAGTCAACTAAATCAAGACCTTAGAAGTCTGGCATTGCTTTCATTTGAACTTCATACCCTATGAAAACTAGAGTACAGTGAGCGGAGATGATATTCCAAGCTCAGGAGTGTGCTAAAAGTAAATTAATGGAACAGGTAACAACTCTAAGATCCTCAATAGTTGTCTTAGTAACACAGTTACACACACGCAGCAACTGGTCTTATCTTCATAGTGAGAACAAGGCTAGCATGGCTTCCTATGTTTTTCTCCTAGACTGAGGGACTTGTCTTACTGCCTTTTAGCTACCTGGTGATGCCGTACATGCGGACAGACTTACAAAAGATCATGGGACATGAGTTCAGTGATGAAAAGATCCAGTACCTGGTCTATCAAATGCTGAAAGGGTTGAAGGTAGGTGGGTATGGAAGAGCTAAAAGTAAGGATTGGGGTCTAACAGATTTACTCACTGAATCACCACCTCTTTTAAGAAAAGTCCATGCTCTGTATCACCCTTGAGTGGGCCATTAGATTGTGGGCAGAATACCTGATGGCCCATCATCCTTACAAAAGCAGTACCTCTAAGTTTACCCACTGAAAAAACTAAACTAATCCCCACTTTTCTTACTAAACTAATCTGGATCTAGCACCCGGCAATAAAACAGCTTTAGTCTTTACATGGTACCGGTCATGCAATTTCTTTCTATGAGGGCAATTGATTTGCTTTGTTCAGTTGGCTGAAATGCGAGGGGCTTAGCAAAACTCTGCAGGGTGGCAAGAGGCTTATTAGCAAATGCAGCTTCTGTTGACTCCTTCCTTTACTCGCCTTTTGGAGAAGAGAGATGCAATCATTCTCTCAGTTACTCTATGCCAACTGAGACTGACAGGTCCTGGGAGCCTCCAGGAGCAGCAGCCACGGTGCTCCTTCAGCAGAGAGCCTGGCCAGCAGCCAGAGCTTGGCTCCAGCTGGCCAGGCTCTGGTTTTGGGCAACATGTGCTGCTGCCACACGTGCCAACCTGGTTTTTCCCAGGGCCAAAAACACTCCCTGCACTGCAAAGTAGCAGCACGGGGAATACCAACATATGTGGCACATATGGTATGTGGCACTGCAGATGGATCTGTGGTGTTACATACCACACATCTGCACTTGTCTGAACCCTCTAGGTTTTTCTTGGGAATAATGTATGTGTTTGTACACATAATATTGCGTGGAACCTCACAGCATCCTTAAAAGGATCTCGTGGCAACCCAGGTTGCTATAGTACCCTGGTTGGAAATCACTTTTTTAACCACTGAAATGTTGAGATATTATATGAATACATCCCACTATAGGACTTTCATCTGAACCTCTAACAGCACTTTAGAAGCATTAGTGAATTAACTTCATAACATCTTTCTCCAGGTCGTTATTATTTCCAGTTTAGAGTTGGGAAAAATCTATGTAGAAATTAAGCGATTTCCCAAAAGTCATGTAGCACATCTGTGAAGAATCTGGTTAGAACCTGTATTCTGGGTCCCAATCATGTGTGCTGGGTGCTCGAGTCCACCTCCTAAATAATCCAGAAGAACCAAAGACTTCCCTGTGCTCACACTCCTGCTCATTCAGGACTCCACCTAGCCAGTTGAGAAGTTTGAGGCTGAATGTCTATAACCGATTTGAACACCTTTCACTCCAGACCAGATATGCCTCTTCTTCAGGGCAGTATTATAATTACACCTATTATGAGGAATTTAATATATGGAATAGGTTTTAGCTACCATTTTAGCTTGCCATTTATCTTTTAGCAGCAGTTGTTTTTCCTCCATAGCTGTGATCTGTACAGTAGAGTCACAGGATTGAGGGCACGGGTCTTGGAGAGGAAGAATTCAAGTTGTTTTGGTCTCAGCAGGCAGACTCCTGCTTGTAACATGTGTTTCTCCTTTGGGGAAAGGAAAGATTTATTGGCTGGTGATCACACTGTGGCTTCCCTTTTTATTGCAGTATATTCATTCTGCTGGAATCATTCACAGGGTAAGTCCCTGTGCTTCATTACTCTAATTTTATTTCCGTTCAGAGAGAACCACAACTCAGCCATAAAGTTAACAGCTTCTGCCGGGTCCCTGAACATTGTCTTTGCCTCCCTAAGTACTCCCTAGACTAAAACCCCCTTCTCTTTGGCTGTCTCATTTTATTCCCTCCTGCCTTATGTACGCCTGGCTTTGCTCTAATATCTCAGCAATATTTCGATAAAATGTTACATTTTGTGACACTCCTTACATGAAAGAGCTCCAGGAAAGAAAGGTCCTTGTAATTTATATGGGTGCTGAACTTATCACATTGGTATCTTGGGTAGTGAGTTGCAATCCAACGTGTTCTGACTATTCTGATTTTGTCTGTCTCAGGACCTAAAGCCAGGCAATCTGGCTGTGAATGAAGACTGTGAACTAAAGGTAAGAATAAAGGTGCCGCTTTCCAGCCTGTGAGAAATGTAGCATATCGGATAAGTGGTGAACTGCTCCAAGTGCATGAATCCTGGCATTAATGCATCTTTGGGGCTCCTATTACATTCTGAGGCCCGATCCAGTGCATTTAAGCACATGGCAGTTGAAGTCAGAGCTTAATATACTTGGTGCTCAATGAACTCCTGTGGTTAAAGTTACACATAAACATGTGTACCATTTTAAATGAGGGCCTGGGCTTGGAGTGAACATCCTGCCATGGTGTAGTTACTACAGGTTTCCCTCGCCAACCACAGTTTTGAGTATCCATGCTTCAGAGAAGGTGGGGTACAGTCTGAAAATACCCCCCATGGCCTCCCTGGCCCTGCTCATGCCTTGCACTCCCCCCTACAGCCCCTACAGCCTTGCTGGTGCCCCTCACCGCCCACCCACAGCCCCTGCTCCCCCAGCCCTGCCGGTTTTGCCAACCACAGTAACTTTCAGGAACCTAACTCCCGTGGTTGGCAAGGGAAACTTGTACTATGCTGAAGTTCAGTGACTTGCTAAATGCATTCGGTGCCTTACGGTTACTTATATACCAGGAAAATGACCTGTAGATGGTAACTACAGTCAACCACAGTTCTTCCTCAACTTCCATCGACTAGGGCTGAAACAGACTGGTTACAATTGTGGACAAAGGCATTTTCAACACCTGTTACAAAGGGCTTGTTAGAGCCCTGGTGGATTGAAAGTCTGGCATGCTTTGTGTAATGAGTGTTAAAGTGACTTGGCCCCATCTACTCCAAGGGTCAAGTCAGGTCAAACCGTGTTCAGCTCCATTTGGAGGAAGAGGCCACCTGTTGTCAACAAGCTAGATATGCTGTCACTGGCCCCCAAGATGCTTGAGCATGCAGGGCACGGGGGAGTCCTGTGAACAAAAAGAAAGGCAGTGGTTCAAGAAAGGCAGTGATCTTTCAGACCTTATACGCTGCGTACTCCCTTGAGGCAACACCTAGTTTTACAGCCTACTTGTAATTCCCAGTAGAATTAAGACAAACCTGTTATCTCGCTGAACTATACCCTGCGTGTCGCCAAGGCAGTTACAGTTGCATTACTATCTGATTGGATCCACTTTCTTTACTCATGGAAATAGATTCACGCACAACTGCGGGATTTTTCTTTCCCTTTTCCCCACTCCCCCTGTCTCGCTCCTCCTTTGCTGAGCTGTAGATCTTGGATTTTGGCTTGGCAAGACATGCAGATTCTGAAATGACGGGATATGTGGTGACACGTTGGTACAGAGCACCAGAAGTCATTCTGAACTGGATGCATTACAATCAGACTGGTGAGTTAAATCACTTCTGCTGTGGCTGTCTGGGAATCAGCACTGGGACCCCACTTGAAGGCTGGGAGCAATCTCACACAATCCTCCATCTCCCAATTTAGTGTTTTTAATTCCTCCTCATCAACGTATCTTCCATAGCAGTTATGAAGCTCCCTGCTAGGAGACAGTCTCATCTGGACTGTTGCCCAAAGCTTTTGCCTTTGGTACAGCTGAATTCAAAGGTAGCCCAAAAGGAACATGTGGCCGTGTCCAGATGAGCGTGGACACGAGGTATGTGGCACTGCAGACAGGTCTGCGGCACCACACACCGCACATGGAGGAATTCCCTGCGTTGTTACCTTGCAGCGTGGGGGAGCAGGGGGTTGACCCCAGGAGATCCTGGAGTCAAAAAAACCCACCCCCCAAAAAAAGCAGGGTGGCACATATGGCAGCAGTGCATGCAGATCCAAAACCAGAGCCTGACCAGCTTGAGTCATGCTTCAGCTGCTGGCCAGCCTCCCAGCTACAGAAGTGCTGTGCCTGCAGCTCCCCGAGGCCCCCATGACCCTTGGTCAGGTTGCAGGGGCCAGCACAGTTGCTGGCCCCAGCCTCCCCTACCCCACCCTGGGTAACCTGCTGCACGCCAGAGCGCATGTGGCACAGGTGTTCCCTGGGTACAAGTAGCAGTGGCATAAGGTGTGCAGCTGCTACTTATTCCTAGAGAAACAAATGCCCATGCTTGTCTGGACATGGCCTGTGAGGGCCATGGGTAGGAATAAAACCAAGGAAGGTCCATCAGAGCTTGACAACCTATTTGGCTAGCATGGAGAAGGCACACCAGTTTCACAGCCAAAGGCAGACAAAGGGGTGATGTGGCTGGCATCACATCCAGCTACCTTTGGTTCTCACCAGGTCCCCATTTATACCTGGGTTAAAAAGATGGCAGCCTTTGACATAAGTCTAGCTTGAACTCAACGCACCAAACCTGTAGCAAAACACCTTCCGCCACTCAGATACCATGCTCCTCTTAGCAACTCAAACTAATGGCTAAATAATTCAGCAAGGGTTGTAGTCCTCAGAAGCAAAAGACCTCAGTTGCAACTATTTCTTCCCTAACCCTGCTTCATTCTCTCTCACGTTCCTCTCTGCCTCTCCCCGAATAGTGGACATCTGGTCTGTTGGTTGTATCATGGCAGAAATGCTGACTGGGAAAACACTGTTTAAAGGAAAAGATTGTATCCTTTCAAAGTGCTGCAGATGAATTGGAAACCTGGGGAGCAACCAATGGAGATGCTCTGGCTACATGCAAATGTGCTGTTCCAAGTATGCAAGGGTGGAGGTACCACGGAAAGAAGTGCAAATGTGGCTTACTAAAAAGATAAATCCTGTCCTGTGTCCTATGGCAGGCATGATGTCCCTGAACACAGTAGGCTCAGTGGGTTCTCTTATGTGGGGAGAAACAAAGCAAGATGGGGGGTGGGAAATCAAATGGCACAACACAGCTCTGTGGGGACTGCTGGCACCCAAAGATGGAGGGGTTGGCGCAAGCCTTGTGAACCCAAATGCTCCATTCCAAAATCTTGCAGCAAGAGATTGCCACTGATTTGGGGGTACTGCAGCCCTGACTCTGCTTTAGTAGAAACAGAGCCAGTAGGAACTAAATTCAGGCCAGGTCTGTATACAAAGTTTTATCAGCTATGTTGCCATCAAAACAGTGGGAAAGAAACAATGTACCAGGCACCCCTAACTGCTGGACAACCCCCCATCTAGATGCAACTTGTACCAGTCAGAGTCCTTTTGCTGATACAGCTTAAGTACATTGTGAATGTGGTTAGGTATATCAGAATATAACTCCTTTTGCCAGTATAAGTCATGCCTTAACTAGTGGGCTATACCAGTACAGCTATAGCTGCTAAGCCCTCAGCCTCCTTAATCCTCACCGACTTTCCCAGCCTGTGCACTTGGGCTGATAACTGGGTCCAGGATTTGCTCCAAAGTGTTCAACCTTTAACTCAGCCTGCCAGATCTAGATCAGCTGACTCAGATCCTGAAAGTAACAGGGCACCCAGGAGAGGAATTTGTGGAGAAACTGGAGGACAAAGCGGTAAGAAAAAATGCACAGGACCAGTGCTTTATTGCTGAAGGCATTGCTGGGGAAGCTATGGAAAGATAAGTTGGTACCACAACGTCTTTGCAATGTGCATGGGTGCAGTTAGTAACAGAACCCTTTCTAATCATGCAGCAACATTACCCATTCTCCTGAGATGCGGGAAGAGTTCCCCTTTTGCCAGGAGGTGCTCCTGGAGAGGACAGGTGTGGAGCAGGGACTGAAGGTCAGGACTCCATGGTTCTGCACCTGATGTTGATTCATTGTGTGACCTTGGACAAATCATTTCTTAATTTCATTTGTTGCCACCTCACCTCAGTCATCTTCAAGCCTAGGTTCTTTCTGTATCCCCTTGGGTTGTTGTGGGGCTCACCGGTGTGCGAGAGCAGCTCTTCACGAGAAACAGGTCAAGGAAGTGTGGAGCCTGAGATACTGCTCCCTTAGACACAGACCTGGTAAACTTTTCTGGTGTACCTTTGCAATTGTCCAATTCAGAAAGACTGCAGACTGTTTTTTCCACCTCTCTTTCAGGCAAAAAGTTATATCCAGTCCCTCCCTAAGATTCCTAAAATGGATTTGTTTCGGCTTTTCCCGAAAGTCAATCCTCTGGGTAAGTCATCTTCATGCCACTTTCTCTCATGCCACCTTCACTCCGTGATAACTAAAGCAGGTTGTTTCTCCTGAGGGTTTGCTGTGACTTCTGCTTCCCCCTCCCCTTTCTAAAGCTCCCTGTCATCTAACTGCTTGCTGCCCTGCTGCCCATACCTCTTACAGGGAACCAGTGATGCCTCTCTCAGTCACTAGCTTTTGTCAGGGGGCTGAAGGTATTTAGTCATTAAGTGGAAAAAATGATTCTTTAGTGGCATTAAAATAGCATGTTTCTGCTACGCTTGCCTTTTGTATTTGGTTTTTGCTTAAAATAACATGCCCCATAACTTTGGGCACTTTTTAAAAAGCAAATATTTCCTGGAATTTTTGCCATGACTGTAAAGTCAATGTTAATAGCAAATGTTTCTCAGATCTGTAGGTCTTGGGAGGGAGAGTGGGGGTTTGTGCTAAGCACAAAACACGAGTCATTTTGCAGAATCCTGTGATGTCTTGTTTGAGCTCACTTTTTCCTGCAGTCTACAGAACGTAGTTTTATAATAGATTCATAGAAGCTAGGGTCAGAAGAGACTTCAACAGATCATCGAGTCTGACCCCCTGCCTGGGCAGAAAAGAGTGCTGGGGTCAGACGACCCCAGCCAGATGCCTATCTAGCCTTCTCCTAAAGACCCCCCAAGGTGGGGGAGAGCACCACCTCCCTTGGAAGCCCATTCCAAATTTCAGCCGCCCTTACCGTGAAGAAGTTCTTTAATAAGAAACAATTAAAATGAAGCTTCTGGACTTACACAGGATAGATGCAAGCATGCGAATGAAAAACAATCTTGGACCAGTCTAGTCAACTCTTCCCCTAAATTCAGATATTAATAGGTTTGCTAAACTGAAGGTCACTTGTTTGGAGGGGTTGTTCTGGGCAGCAGTGGTGGTGGTTATAGTGGGAAGGGTACAGTACCATACTTACTGTGTTTTAAATGGAGTAGATTGCTCCTCCCTTCAGAACTGATATACAGCTCTCAGCATACAACGCTCGCTCTGGTGCCAAGCAGCATGGCTTCTTGCCTGGTGGAGTATTACTTTTATGTAATACTCCTTTAGGCTGCAGGTCACAACTTCATCTGGAATGAGGACAATCACCCATCATACTGCAGATTTCTGGGCTCCATTCGGCCTGTGGAATGAATGTAACCATTTCTGACTTGAGTTGCCTATAGCCAAACTAGTGCTTTCACATTAGTACCATTTAAGTCAAACAAATAAATAAGCAAGCTCACTTTCTACTGTTTTCCCTCAGATTTAAGATCCAAAGCAACGAGAGCTGTGAGAGGGACCAACGAGAATTACATTTTCTGCTTCAGTCAGGTTTAACCAGGGAAAATATACGAGTGAGCTCTTAGCTGTGTATATCTCTAATATACACAGCTCTTAGCTGTGTATATCTCTAATCCTGATATGTACCTGGTTACTATATTTTCATGGTGTACATTTTGAAAATGAAGCTTCTCCCCCAGTGAGCTGTTTATCCTCGCAGGTCATAGATGAGGAAAGAAAAACCTTTCCCAAACTGAAAATAAAGTTAAAAAAAAGGCAGCAGTTAAACCTAATGAAGCAGTTAAACCCGAAAGGAAACCAGTCTGACAGACTAGTTAATTTCTGAGTTTCCTGCCTTCCTGTTTGCCAACCCAAGTATAGATTACTTTACAGATTACTTGGGTTGATAATACTTTGAGTTGAGGGGTTCAGAAGCAAATTATTAAAACTGAAAAAAAGTTTATCTTTAAATTACTGTTTGTTAGTTATGTTCTTGAAGTGCACTTAGCTTCAACAACGCCGTTAGTTTGGTGGCAATGTCACACCCTAGTCAGATCTTCAGCCTGAGGGATCAACTATCCACCACTGATTCATTGATTTTACCACTTCTACATGTTCTACATGGATGGGAACACCTATTTTAGGAAAGTGCTACCCATTTGACTTTTGGATGCTGTTTCAGGGTTTACATTCCAGACATCCTAACCTCAGTACTATTGCTCTATTCATCTAGCAATATGGCTTTCTTTTTGCAGCAGTGGACTTGCTTGACAAGATGTTACAGTTGGATGTGGAAAAGCGTCTTACAGCCACAGAAGCTCTGGCCCACTCATATTTTGACCAGTTTAGAGACACAGAGGAGGAGACAGAGGCACAGCAGTCCTATGATGACACTCTGGAGCGTGAGAGGCTTTCAATAGATGAGTGGAAAAGTACGCAAGCAATTTAACTTCTTTGGGTTGCCATCACTCCATCCATGTCTTAACGTCTCTGCCCCCCAACCCCGGCTGCCTACATACTTAATATGCCAGGTGTCACTCCCATCTTCTTCTTGTCCCCTGCACACATGTTGACAATGCAGAGCGCCACTCTCTGTCCTTTGCTTTGGCTTCTGCACCTGTAGAAAATACTGTTTGCCTGCATCTTTCCAAACAACCTTTTTGTCTCTATATTTTGTCTTTTCTCTTCATTTCAGTGTCCACATGCTGAAACCTTATATCTGGACTCTGGTCCTCAGCACAACATTGCTTTGCCCTTGAGGTCACATTCTTTTTAGCATCCTCTAAATCAAGTAACACACTACTCATATCGATTATTATTCTGCTTGTTTTGAAGGGCATATTTACACTGAGATTCTCTCCTTCAGTCCAATTGCCCGGAAGGACTCCAAGAGGCGGAGTGGTATGTCATTGTCATGACTGCAGTCACTGGGACACCTGCAGTTGGGGCTAACCTCCCCATGCTGGATCATAAAGAGGATGTCTGTTGGGATCTGGACCACATCCCATCCAAGTCAAGAAATACCTGGCCACCTGGATCTTTTGTGTGTCCTGAGCACAAAGTTATTGACTGTGCGTTGGACTTTGTTCCGACTGAAGGGAACTGCACCTGAAACATTGAACAGTACCAAAGATGAATGGCTTCTTTTAAAATACCTACATAGGAGAATTTTGCCTGGTGCTTCTTGGTTTTCCTGCTCATTCACATTTTTTTCCATTGACTCTCCAGTTGATTTCAAGTGTTCTGATATTTCAGTGGTTCCTTCTCACTGTTCCCTCCATTTACCACCCACTTCTTTTTCAGCACCCCTAGAAAAGCAGTTTGGACCCTTGTAGATAATCACTGGAAATCAGGCAGGAGGAGCCTGGAAAACAGCCAGTGGTCCTTTGGTTAGAGAAGAACACAGGAAATCAGGGTTCCTGGTCTCTACTCAAAGCTCGGCCAGTGACTTGCCAGGGGAACGTAGGCAAGAAGCGGTCCCTAATTCTGAGTCCCTTGATTACTGGGTTTCCTAATTTAGATAGCTAGACCTAAATGCAAGCACCTAAATCAAAGTAGCCTGATTTTCAAAAATGTTCTGAGATCATCTTCAACTTAAGAGTATTAGATCACTGCCAAGAATAATTACTGTATCTCCATCAAATGATGGTCTTATTCTATAATAAACTACATTGGTTAGTAACCAATATAAAAGTATGTTTTGGTTTTTGAAGTAATACCTTATACAGATGTAGTGACAAAAATTGGTGTGTTAAAATGAATGTTTAACAAGTTAAAATGCAGTTGGCAGCTGGCAGCATGGAGGTACCATCTTAGCCATGTCAAATGTTATAATGTAGCAACAAAAATTGCAGGCAAGAGAACAGGTTCAGGTATCCTTTGGTAAGTGTTTTAGTGCAGTAATAGTTATCAGTATAGAATATCAAAATGAAACTGAATCATTTTGGGGAGGGGGAGAGCAAAAGGCAACAGAACCAGGAATGATGAAATTCTGCTAAATAGGTCAGAGACTTATGCAATTTAGCTTTGGCCATGTCTGATTCTCCCTGCTAACTTCTAATGCAGAGAGGTTGCTGAGATGATGTAGTCCTCCAGCCTAGTCACAGGAGTCCACCCCTTCTGGAAATCAAAGGTAAAAATAAAACCAAAACAACCTAATATTCAACCCAAACTTTTGTTGACCCAGTTCCTCCTCTCAGGGTCTCTCCTACATGACCATCTTTAGCTTTTTTCTTGGGCTCAGCTTCTAACCCTCATAGGCTCCAATCAGTCCCTTGTTCCTCATGCTGACATGGACAACTATACCTCCTAACAAACTAGCAGTGCAGAGGGGAGGCACATCCATTTCTTCAGGTTCCCAGCACAGGAACCTTAAACAGATTACTGTGCTTCCCCTATGAGGTGAACTATTCCATCCATCCTGTCCAGATCCTTTTCTTATGTGCTCAGCCTCCTCTCTGATTCCTCTTAGGTGGTCTTTTTTAATTTGGTAATCCCTTCCTAGAGTCTTTCCACTGACTGACTACAGCCTGACCTTGTCTCCAAGCAAGCCTGGCCTAGACCCTTGTACTTTCATTCCCTGTACCTGGACACATGGGTTAAAACAGGCACAGGTGAGGCTGAGCCACAACTCTCTTAAGGGCCAGGTCTTTACATAGTCCTAAGGGAGGTTTAACCTGAATACAGTAGTACAAAATACAGGGCACATCTACACATGCAATTCATGGGAAGCAATAAACTCCAGTATTTACTGCACCAGAGTTTATTATTCCTAGGCATGCCTTTGAATGTGTGCCCAAGACTGCAGCACACTGAGCTGGGTCGGAGCAGCTCCAGCTGGCAGGGGACCCTGGAGATCAGCCTGCCAGCCCAGGGCTGCTCCTGCCCAGCTTAGTGTGCTGTGGAGGGGCTGGCTGGGGCACGAGAATGCTGCCATGCCAGACTAGCTGGCAGGCATCCCTGCACCCTTGAGCCCCAGCCTGCTGGGTCAGCATCTACACGTGTGCTGCTGCACACTAAAAAACTCTGTATTTGCAAGTATTATCCTGCTGCAGTTTATTAGTTTCCTGTGGCCTAATAGGGCTGAATGTGCAGACACTGAGATGTTTACTGTGGAGCTAATTAGCCAGCTCAGCAGTAAACGTCTTGTGTAGATGCATCCCTTGAGAACCAAATTTGTGAGACCAAGGACAGGTTCCCAGGTAAAAAAGAGGAAGCTTCATCACTTAGGGACAAAATACTAGAAAATATATCAGAGGAACAACCAGCATAGCAAGGAAATGAACTAAATAAGCCTTCTCCGTTCTCTATGATCACTGTCCATCTTGTATAGATGTTTTAGCTTGAATGAACCTTTTCAGCAAGAATTTTTAAAAAACGGCAATTAAGAAGAGCATAAAAAGTGGTATATCCCACATGAAAAAGATGATAGTATGAAGATTTTTCTCCCTTGAATCGGTTACAACTATTTTAGACTCCCTTCATGTAGGATTTGGCATTTCTCATTTGTATAAATACATTCAAATAAATTCAGTTTGCCAACCACTTCTTGGCAGTCACAATATATATTGCCCACTGTATGAATTACAGTGCTTAAATGGGGTAAGAAAATGCCAGGTTCTTTCAACAGCTCAGGTAGAGAAAAATGTGTTGAAAGACAGAATTCCAAGAGCTGTCATGAAACAGATATAAAACAGATGCTTTGTGGGTCTCTTGTTTGCAATTTTGGTTTCAGTCCTCATTTGGGAGTGTGCAGGACACAGATGGGCAAGACAGGGATTCACACACAGTAGGACAGCCTGCAGGGTTCTGGTACTCTCTGGGCAACTCTACACGAGATGTTTACTGCGCAGTTGACTTATTAACTGTGCAGTAAACATCTCAGCGTCTACATGTGTGCCCCTGTTAGGGCGCAGAAAAGGAATAAACTCTGCAGCAGGATAGTACTTGTAAATACAAGTACTATCCTGCTGCAGAGGGTTTTTTTATGTGCAGCATAAATTCTAGGTCCGTGTGAGAAAATGCTCGGTTCAGACCACCTGTCTGGATTTGGGCAATTTTGTAGGACTCTCAGATATAATGGTAATAAGAAGAGCATAAATACATAATAGATGTTTTTGTCACCAGACTAACTGTTCCATCATTCAAATCTACTTTCTCAATGAAGCTTAGATTCCACATTTTGGATTTGTCCTATAACGTACTAATTAGTTCAGTTACAGATATAATATACTTATATTTTGCTCGTTAAAATTATGCATGTACTGGTACAGAGGCCAAGACCCTTGGAATGTTAATACATGTGTTACTTTCTCTATGACAGGTTGCATCCACATTTTTAAATTTGGATCACATAGTCATAGAAAATGAGGGTTGGAAGGGACCTCAGGAAGTCACATCTAGTACAACCCCCTGCTCAAAGCAGAACCATCCCCAACTAGATCATCCCAGCCAAAGCTTTATCTAGCCAAGTATTAAAAACCTCTCTAGGTAACCTGTTCCAGTGCTTTATTACCCTCCTAGTGAGAAAATGCTTCCTAATATCTAACCTACACTTCCCTTGCCGCAACTTGAGACTATTGCTCCTTGTTCTACCATCTGCCACCATTGAGAACAGTCCAGCTCCATCTTCTTTCAAAACCTCCTTCAGGTAGTTGAAGGCTGCTATTAAATCCCCTCTTGGTATTCTCTTCTCTAGACTAAATAAACCCAGTTCCCTCCGTCTTTCCTCATAAATCATGTCCCCCAGTTCCCTCACCATTTTTGTTGCCCTCCACTAGACCTTTTCCAATTTTTCCACATCCTTTCTGTAGTGGGGGACCCCTTTCAGCCCAAAACTGAATCACAGTACTCCAGATGTGGCTTCACCAGTGCTGAATAGAGGGAAATAATCACTTCTCTTGCCCTGCAGGCAACACTCCTACCAGTGCAGCCCAGTATGCTGTTAGCCTTCTTTGCAACAAGGACACACTGTTGGCTCACATTCAGCTTATTGTCCACTGTAACCCCAAGGTCCTTTTCTGCAGAGCTGTTGCCCAGCCAGTCAACCCACAGCCTGTACTAATGCATGGGATTGTTCTGTCATGGAGGAGGCAGGGACTGGGTCACTAACATGGAAGCACAGGGTGCCTTGAACCCAAATATTTCAGTTATTTAAATTCTTGAGTCTCTGTGACAGTACTAGTCCCAGCAAGACTGGATGATCTTGGAGACATTAATCTTCATTAGTTCTTTTGAAATACATCCCATGTTGGCTTACATAGCTCGCTCTAAAGCAACAGAACTGTTCTGTCTTGGCCACTTGAATTCAAGATGATGTCATGATCCTCCAATGTTTGTTAGGCCAAGAGATTTGATTAACACTATTATATCCCCAGAAACTAGAGCTTTTTGAGAAATTTCCCCTTCTTACTCCAAGCTTGAAAGTTCTCATTGTTAATATGCTAAACAGTTAATTGCCAGAGCTTCTTAAGTACAATAGGGTCTTTAGGGCTATTTATCCCCTCTTTGCAATGCTACAGAATAAATTTCCTTCTGACAGCCATTTATTTCTGCCTGCTTGAAATATGAATGAATATATTTCACCTCCACACAAAATCACCAACTATGTACCAGGGCCCCTGGAATATGTCACACATTTCTTTAAACATGACTTTGGTTAATGATCATGGTTTTAGAAATGCTAATTGTTAAAACAAAAGTTTATAGAGGCCCTTACAAAAAAGATATTATCATCCGCAGGTTTTGCTCTGAGTGGGGTATAAGTGCACACTTCTCTGTAAAGTATGATTCTCTAATAGGAAACCTTTCTACACCTTTGTTGATAGATGTAAATAGATGGAGTTACTTTGAGTGGAATCTTTTTCCCTCCCGCAGATCAATTTAAAGTTAATACTTATAAGGTTGCTGCAAAGAAGAGTCCAAGTAGTGATGGAGCAATTTTAATACACTTCACAAACTAGAAAGATCTGCATAGATGCATCTAACAGTACCATCAATCAATGGATGAAAAAGGTAATTTTACCCATGTGTCCTTAGAAACCTCTAGCTATCAGGTCCACTATAGCAACTCAGGGAGTCTTTCTAGGACCATAAAGATCATACTATATCTATGTAAATGTTTCTGTTTTGTACTTTAGCCCTTCTCTGCAAATATACAGGTCATATCACTAGAGCTCCTTTGTGACTACTACTGCACACCATTCTCTCTCTGGAAGGCTAGTGGTGTCTAATCTTGTGCAGCTGTTAATACTTCTTGCCAATATATTGTCTGCCCTTGACAGCAACACCGTGTATTTCTCTATTAATCAGCTTTTTAAGCCCTTTCATTTGTATGTGGTGACACTGGTTCATCTACACTACAGCCAAAAGGTGCAATTTGAGCATCTGTAAACATACCTGAGCTAGCTTTAAACTTATTAACTTGGGACTGATAGCAGTATAATTGTGGCAGCATGGAGATCAGTAAGGGCTAGCTGCTGGAGTATTTACCTAGGGTGCCAGATAGATTATGTAGCCTACACCCAACTATATTAGTTATGGAATGTAATCAATTCCACTTTGCAATCTATTGGAGCAGCTTCATATTTGTGGATCATTTGGTTTTGTTTTGGTCACAACTGTCAGGACACAGATGGGAAAAAAAAAATCAATTTTTAAGTGAAGAACTTCTTTATTCTTGAGTCTTCCTAAACCCTAGCACCAGTTTCTCCTATCTACCTTATCTTCCTGCTATAGAAGGGCCCTTCCAGCTCCTAACTTCTGTGAATCTATGTATCTTCTTTGTTTATTTACTTCCCTAGTCATTACTGCTGTACTAATTACACCATTCTCTCAAGGATGTATTTGGTTAGCCGTGTTGGTCTGTGACAAAAAGAAATGTAAAACTCTAGAACTTTGGTTTTATTAGACCAACTAAGAAACTGCAAAAAAATACCTTTATCTGCAAGCTTTTGGGCACACATGCCTGAGGAAGGGCGTGTGCCCAAAAGCTTGCAGAAAAAGATGGGGGGTTTTCCAATTTCTTAGTTGATTTAATAAAAGGTATCATCTCTATACCAAGAGTTCTGGAGTTTTGCACCATTCTCTTGAAATTCTTATACGTATTTTTGCACTACTTTCCCTTGTTGTTCACACCAGTGGTTTTACTCCCCTCAACTTCAAGGCCTTTTTGTTGTCCCCAAAAGTCTATACAACTGTTTGATTTCACCTGTCTTCCTGCAAACTTCTTCACTGCAGGCGACTTGTGATTCTGCTGAGTAGAATCACAAATGAGGAAAACAGTGTAACATAAACAGATACCTCCCAGCTGTGGCCTCTCAGTGCCATTTACTGTAATAAATCTTTCTTGAGAATTAGATGAGGTGTTACTGGATTTCCTGGATGTTTCACATCTGCAAGTTATACTGCGTGTTACACAGAGCAGGTTGCTTATCCTTACAGCAACTGTAAGTCTTTGAGTTGTCCATCAACATGCATCCTATCCTGCTTTAAGTAGGGGGTTGGACTAGATGGCCTCCAGAGGTCCCTTCCAGCCCTAATTTTCTATGATTGTCCTTGAACATTAGATTGGAATATTTCTGGCCTCTCAACATTTCCTTGTGCTATGTACATGCTTCTCAGTGAGGATATTACAAGTGGTTGCAACCTTCCTTCAGTTCCCTAATTCAAAGACCATGTTGCAGAGGGTTCTGACAAACAGGGTTGGAAATAGGCTGTAGGATCCACGTGGACTGCATCTTGAAGAACCATATTTATACTAGGGTAAATGATCTTTTTTTTTTTTCTGAGTGTGAATCCGTGTCAGTGACTAACAAGCACTATTCTGTCTGGATAGTGGGAGCGTGGTATTTCAGCTCTATCAAACAGCAACTGAAGTACTGCCTTTTAGAGCATGGTATCTAACTTGGCTGCTATGGCAAGTGCTAATGTTTAAGAAGGGTCAGTGAGTTGCTCCATGTAGGGGGCTGAAGATTCTCAAAGATGTGTCCAGGGAGTAGGAAGGCTATCACACTCTGCTGTGTTGGGGGTGCTTTCTGGCATACTATTTTATCTGTCATAGGATGGTATGTGCTGTCTTGGCTGAAGCTAAGGCTGTCTGTTATAGCTTACAGGATGGAGAAAAAGATAAATCACCAGAGACCAGATTGGCTTTTGAGTTCTTCAATGTATGTAAAGTGCTTTTGATCTTTTCACTGAACATGTCTGAGTCCTCAAAGGGTAAATCCTCAATCTCAGCATGCGCTTCTCATGAAGAACCTAATTCTTAGAACCATGATGCTCTGTGCAAAGTCATTTCCTCCTTCCGTCCTTGTAACAAGGCATTTAGCAGAATTCAAATTAATTGGAATCTGACAGGGCTGCACCCTGACTGCTTCTGCTATGACCTCAAAATTGCAACCTCTGGGCTGTTAACCGTGCCTTAGTGCCTGCGTGACCTCAGTCCTGCAAAGTCATTATGGGTGCATAGATGTAGTCACAGTGTCCAAGACATCTATCACTAACTACAAAGCTATCTTGGTCACCAGCTGGCCTTATTTTATGTCCTTGAGTTTCTTTTTGCTGTCGTGAAGGAATCTGGCCAACGTGAGAAATCTTTGGGTTTATCTTGTGATTCACGTGTATGTTTTTACATATCTAATACTGTGCAGCATCCTTTATAGAATCCCATGGCACTTCAGGGTGCCATGGGACCTTGGTTGAGAATCGCTGACAGACACACACTTGAAAACATTAATTTTGTTTTCTCTAATATAAGTGATATGATTTATATATTACTAAATGCAAAATTAATGCTATTACTTGACACCCTAAATACATATATCAAATCCCATAATAAATTAGGTCAACTCCAACAAGAAATATTTTTACCTTTAGATTACAAGCCTATGCTTGAAAGCTATACAGATTTACTTTCCTCAGCCCCCACCTCTTATAACATCTGGATGCTAACCTTGAATTCCTGAAATAATCCAAGCGCAGGCTCCTTTGCTTGCTACTCCTATATTTATTTGTTTTAGGTTACACAGCATGTTTTTAGTTTGAACGTGAACCTTTCACGTCAAGCAATCATTCTGCAAAAGTATTTCTGACAGCAAACTAGATCTGTGAATAGCCACTTTATGGGCTGATCTTATTTATTAGAAGCACTGTGTTAGAAATGTCAGCAAGAGGAGCTGCAACATTATCAGAATTCTCTAATAGAGCCTTAGGGCTTTGGATACCTCTTAGGAAGCATTTAATTTCCTTTCAGTGTGAATCTTTGGAAAACCTCTACTGCTGTCTGGAAATCAGTAAGTTTATTTTGTCCCATAGGAAAAAAATAAAGTCTGTTTTTATATTTAACCTTTAAGCAGCCTACATAACAGACTGGGCACACAAATCATTTTCTGATATTCTGAGCATTGTTATAATGGGAGGTATGGAAGAAAAGGAGGAAAGTAACAAATCTCTGAAGAACTCTGTTCACAGCAATATGATATGAGGAGAATGACTACTACAGATTCTCATGGTCTCATCTCATGCCTACCTCAGCTAACAAGGTGAATGGTGACTGATCCCTTCATAGGTCTGGAGAGACTTGGCTGATCACATGCTGATGGTTTTTCCATCTGAGAAGCAAAACAGATGGAAAGGGAAGACTGAACAAAGAGCAAAGTAAACGTTGTGAACTCATTTTCCCCCAAAAAGGACAATATTCTTACACTACTACTTAAGTGCTGATGGATTTGTCTGTCAATGTCACTTCAAGATAAGGTTTTTAGTGTATAAGGGCAAATGTGGTGCGTGTAGTATCTTGCCAAAATCCTCTCCAAAGGGACACTGAAGCATGCCAATTTACATGTTTTTAACAGAGCAGCATGCCTGCTGTTGATTCACATTTTGTTCCATCCCCTTTTGTTAATTGATGAATTTCTCTTTTGGTTTTTACTGCAATCTATCATATAGCAAGCTTAGCACATGTATCTTTATTCCTGTTGTCATTTTTGTTTCATAAAGATGATTGAACCTCCTTTAACTCATTATGTAAAAATAACAAATGAAAACCATGCAAATTTCATTTCCTACTACAGTTTCAGACTTTTGTTGCCAGACACGTTCAAAACAAACAAACAAACAAAAGGAAAGGTGTACATGTGACTGCCAAGAAGTTTTCCAAGGACACTTAGATCACTTAGGTTCTAATCTTATAAAACATCCTAGGTAGAATAAAGACAAACCAGGTTCATTTAAGGCACTTTTGAAAAAAAAAAAAAAGAAAGAAAAACTGAGCACTCACAACTGCAGGTGACTTAAGAGCTGAAAGTGTATATCAACAATATTTAAAAATTTTTTTTTAGACACAAAATACTTAAGTTGAACAAACACCACACACACACACACACACACACACACACACACTTTCAGATTAGCAAATGTAACCGGACACTTAACTCCAAATAGTCCACTTTCTCATTTTTAAGTACAAATATATAGTTCAATCAAGAAGAAAAAATGTGTAATTTGTAAGAGGTGGTGTCACAATTCTGTTTGAGCTTCATTGCCTGCCATTTTTATGAAGAAGTACCATCAGTTTTGTACTCATATTTAAAAAATGGAAAAAATCAACGGAATTAATTCGCACCGTTGGGATTTTGAGATATGCCCAGAATGTTTTTTCAAACAACACGTTAGTTCTGTAGTTATATTATGAAATTAAATGATGGGTAACCTGTTTTGGTGTTACAACATTAATGTCCTCTAGCTTGTAAAGATTTACATACTTAACTCTAGGCCTGAGTAGTCCTTCTGAACTCAGCTGGATTAGTCATATGTTTGATATTAAGCATATTATATAATGTCTTGGTAATATTGGAGCCTAATGTGGTTATAATAAATCAGTTCTAGTTGAAATCTAGACCCTGAGGTGAAGCTAAAATAGAACAACTGACAGAAGTTTTGTACTATCCTTTAAAATTATATGCCAAAAGTAATGAAAAGCCGCAAAGAAAATCCTTTGTAGAAATAAAAGCAAACTTCTGACATAACCAAGGAAAATGAGTTAGGGGAATCAAGTTACTCATAAGTACTGAAAGTGTTTTTTACTTGGTATTTAACATCCCTTCACACCTTAGATTTCAGTTTCAGACACTTGAAACATCTATTTGTAAATAAATTCTTTTTTTTAGTGAAATCAAGTCAAAGTAATTCATTTTAAGCTGATTGTGGTCCTTCTGAAGTCAATGAGAATATTGTACGTATACCATACTTAACCATTTACATTCTAAGAACTTATTGACTACTAAGGAGGTAAGAGAAAGGCAACACATAACCCAGTCCATATTACTGATGGGCTGTCTGCAACTTCCAATATGCTAACATTGACTTCCATGGTGAGGAAAAGGTCCTGAAGTGTGTTTTGAAAATGAATGAAGCTCCCTATGTCAAAGCTGACATGTCTTTGCTTATGCTGCATGTTTTGCATTGTTAGTTAATGCGGTTTCCCAGCGCAGACAAGAGGCTCCCCAAACTAGTCCCTGAATACTAGTGCTTTGCAAATGTGAGCGGTCACATGCCGCTGGATGACCTCTAAACCCACCACTAACCTGCGTCAGAAGAATGTCAAAGTTATCACTGGATGAAACAGGGGGAAAAACAACCCAGAATTGTCTTTACCGTTTCCAGCAAATCCTTTAACAATGCATTTGTGAGTGACATGATATAAAATTACACGTGCTTGTGACTGGAATCTACTTGGCAATGCTATGCACTGCACCCAAGAATAAACTTTGGGAGTTCTTCCGATGCCTTATTTCATCCTAAATTTCAGCTGAAAAGATAAAATTCATGCCTCTTAGTCCCTCTCTGCTGCTGTCCTGTTCCTTATGCAACTCCCCAGTGCTTTCGGAGGCCTCAAGCTTGTGCGGCTATGTGCACTTTACGTGCAGCACTTCAGGAAGCCCCACACATGTGTACGTGTGCAACACTGTTCTGCCCTTTGCTGTTGGTCACTCAGGTAAACAGGAGACAGGGTTTCAAGCTACCTGAGCGGTGTGGCTTGGGGGGGCAGGCGCAGCTTTTGCACGCAGGGTAGCCGAGTTTCTGCAGGCGTGCGAGGCGGCCCTCACAGCAGACCCCTCCGTGCCCGGGGCAGTGTCCAGCCCCAGGCAGACCCCACTGCACACAGGGTGGGGGGGCGTCCAGCCATAAAGGCAGACCAAGTACACGGGGGAAGAGGGGGGGGAGCATCCAGCCCCATACGCAGAGCCCCTAAGTACATGGGGGGGAGCATCCCCAGCCCCTCTCTATAGGGGCATCGCTTCCCCCTGCTGGGGGCCCAGCCTGAACCTCAGACCACTCCGGATGGAGGCCCCCCCGGAAGCGGGGACACGGGGACTGCTCCTTTCCAGCGCAGCGGGCGCAGCTGAAGCCCCCCAGGCTGGGCTGCACCCCCAGCAGGGAGGGGGCTGCGAGGGGGGCGGCGGGGAAAGAG